AAAGATATGAAACTAGCATTTGCACCCGCATTTATTTTTCCTCTTTCAAAGAATTCCAAGAATACTTCCACTAGGTCATCACCTAAGATGTCCCAACAGTTTTGATAAAAAGCCATAGTGAATCCATCCGAGCCTGGGGCTTTTGATATTTCCATAGAGAAAACTGCCTCTTTTATTTCTTGAACCTCAAATGGTTTTTCCAAGGGTTCCAACAATTCCCTTTCTCCAACATGCCACTCAAAGTCGGTTAGAATCTCCCTTACTCTGCTGGGACTGTCATAAATAGATTTAAAATGCTCCATAAAAGCTTTTGCAATCTCTTCCTCTCTTGTCAGCATTGCCCCATTCCAAACTTTCCACTATGTTCTTCTTTCTTCCACTTGCCAAGCTATGGAAAAATCTTGTATTACCATCTCCTTCCTTCAACCACTTGCATCTTGATTTTTGTCTCCAACTTATCTCTTCTTTTCTGAGAATTTCCTCAAAATCTTGTTTCAATTTCCATCTCTCTTCCCTTCATGCCTCAATCCTCTCTCCGCCTCAACAACATCAAGTTCTTGAATCCTTTTACTAATAGTCTCCTTTCTGTCTTCAATTCTACCAAACTCTTCTTTGTTCCAAGCTTTGATCATGGCTTTTAGCTTTTGTAGATTCTTATAAAATCTATATCCCTTCCATCTAAACTCCACGTTATCCTCTTCCCACCATTCCTTCACTTTCTTTTGAAAGTCTGGATGTAACAACCACATGTTTTCAAATCTAAAGGGGCAAGGTCCTCCTCCTAATCTTTCTTGAGATAGTCTAACTGGAAAATGATTCGACGTAGGTCTAGGTAGTGCCCTCATCACCAAACCACCCCATACTTCTTCCCAATTTGAAGAGAATAAAAATTTGTCTAGTTTACAACAAAGTGGTTCTTCCTGAAAATTAGACCAAGTAAAATCAGCTTGCACCAACGGTAGCTCCCTCAATTCAAAAGAATCCACAAAACAGTTGAACTTCCTCATACTTGAGGTGATCCTATGGTTGGGATTATTTGTTTCGGTTACAAACCTGATGAATTAAAATCCCCTCCCAAGCACCACAGACCCTCCCACAATCCCCTTATAGCTACTAATTCCTCCCAAAACTCCCCCTTTCTCTATATGAATTTGGCCCATAAACATTTGTTAAAGCCCATTCCAATCCATCAATTCTTCTTCTAAATTTCACTATAACGGTATAGTTACCAATTAATTCTTCTGTACAATCCAAATCCTCATTTTTCCAAATTGTCAAAATACCCCCTGAGGCTCCCCAAGACTGTGCAAAAGCCCAACTCAGTCCTCTAGCCGACCAAATACTTCTCACCCACCTCCTATCCACCTCTGACAATTTTGATTCCTGAATCAACACAATATCTGGCTTTTATTTTCTGAGCATTTCCCTTATCACTCTTCTCTTCCTAGAACTCCCCAATCCCCTTACATTCCAACTAATAATCTTCATTGAGAACCTAACTTATGAGCAACCCTAGAAACCACCTTTTGCTAACCTGACTACCTTCCTTTTCTCCCAGAACACCCCTTATCATAGTCCACCTCACACCTCAATCTCTCCACTGCAATCGATTTCTTCTTCCTCCTCTACATTCCATTTTCTTACCGCCCATTGCTGCAACTTTGGGATTGAGTACAAGGTTTCCACCGAACCAACCAGGCAAGATTTCTAAAACTTCCTTCTCCTCTCCTCCCCTACTCCACTGACTTCCACGAAGAAATTTTTTCTCCCCACTTTAATCTTGGCTTCCCCCTCCTTTGTCCAATCCAAACCTTTTCCTTTCTCTACGAAGGACTCCCCATTCCGATCCTCCCCTCCACTGTAACTCTTACAGTTTAGCCCCTCTGCTCCTCTTGATCTCTAAGGAAATGGCCTCCGGCAGAAATGAGGACAACTCCCACTCTCTCTCGAGTGGAAGCTTTTTCGAGCAAATCTATTCCCTAGCATCTCCGGTCACCTCCAATCATCTCCTAGCATCTCTGAACACCTCCGAGCATCTCCGGTCACTACCGAGATAATGTGCACGCAATGGCATTCAACATCAAGATGTGTCGGTGCGTGAGGCTCCACTACACTAGATGAGCTGAAGGAGACCCGACGGACGATGTGAGATAAGAAGGTGCGGGACCAGATGCAGAGGCATTCTCAGGTTGGAGAGACAACGATGAGAACCGAAGCACGGCTTACTAGATATCCGAAGGACAATGTGAGGGAAGGCTCTTAGTGATGTTGTGATTGCATCATGAGGAAACCAGAGGTTTTTGAAGGCTCAGAGCTTGCAATTTGATTATGGGTATCATCGGTTGATGAGGATGACGCCGTTCTTCCACACTCTCACCTCCTCAGCTTCGATTTTAGTCTATTTGCTAGGGTTCAATTAGCATGTATGTTGTCTTGAACCCTCAAAGAGTTCAAAATCTGAACCAATAATAATAATAATAATATTTTCTTTTCTTCTTTTCCTAGGAAAACATAGGGACTCAACCCCTCTTTTCTTTGAAATTTCTTTTATTTCTTCTATTTTTCATGAATATTTTGATTTTCTAATGTTTTAAATGAAATTTATACACTTGTATGAAGATTATAGACAATTACTCGTGAAAGATGGTTGTTGCTTGCTATTGAACCCAGGGAATTACCTTAAGGTTCACGGTATTTATTCAAAAAGAAAAGAAAAAAAAAAAAACAAGCATTGCCTAGGCAACAAGATGCCCTCTATCACCTTGGCACCTTGAAGACTATGTTTGGAATATATTGCTTCTTCTTATAGGTTTTGTAATTGGTCTTCTATGCACATAACTAAACCATCTTAGGCCCTGTTTGAGAACACTTAAAAGTACTTCTTTTAAGACATGGGACCACACATTAAGTGGTTTTTAAGTACTTATGGGTGTTTGGTAAAAAAGTGGGGGGGAAGTACCTTTTTTATGATGAATGAAAAGTACTTTTTTTTAAAGTACTTCTTTGAAAAAGTGACTTCAAGTTGGCTTTTTTTAAGTACTTCTTGAAGAAGTACTTCTCAAAAAGAAAGAGACGAACCAGTCCCTTATTTTTTTATAATGCCTAAAATACCCCCACGAGGGTTATACCTCCTCCTTCTCCATTCAATCGAACCTCAAACCCTAGCAGCGGCGCACCAGTTGCAGGTCCACCGGCAACGATCATTACCCATGTTATGGCAGCTCAAGCTTTTTCAACTTTCTTCTTTCTCCTTTCTCCTTTCTTCTTCTCTTATTCAATGGGTTCTTCTCTGTTTTGTCTGCACCAAATCGTTTTTTCTCGTTTGTCGTTATAATTTCTCCGCCTCCCTGTTTCATGCACATATTTATTTTTGGAAAAGGCACCATTTCGGACGTAATTGTGTTGATTATCGTGTTTATACATATCTGTTCAAGCTTCATAGAAAAAGGTATGGAAGCTCTTCGTGATTTTTTCGTTTCATGAATTTAATGCGATCTCTTTGTGTCAACTTGTTTCATTCAATGCTGTTCTAGTTTCCTAATTTGCTCAGACTCTGTTCTATGGGGTCTTTATTTTTCTTATTGAAAAGATAACTCAGCACTATCAATCCGTTTACTTGTATCGAAGAAAAAAATAATAATTCATTTAAAGTGAAACCTCCCTCTATTCAAATTGATTCCTCTCATAGTTTCTTTATTATGGTCATGTCTAAGGTAATTCGGTTTCCTTTTTGTGCATTGAGTAGTCATAGTATCTCTATACCCGATTAATTTTGGTAATCCAATTGAAGAGCATCTCTATATGTTTCTTTTAGATTTTTTTGGTTGTTTATTTAAACCAGAGGTTCATGCAAATTAATCTTGCGTTTTAATTTGGTTTACAAGATTGGAATGCTCCAGTAGCATTGGCTTTCATCCTTAGATGATGATATAAAGGACATACTACAGGTGGTCTCTATTTCTTTGATGAAACAACTCAGACGCCACTGTAGAATATACAGAATCGAATGGAGAAAACTATTTTTTGTTGTTGCCATCGTTACAACAGCTGGAATTGTGCTTCAATCATGTACTCTTCCTTATCCATTGACCATGTCATTTCTCTTTCCCCCAGCAATAGTCTCATCACACAACACCTCAGTTGCTATGGTACAGGTTAATGACACTAATCCTCTGGTGAGGCCTCAACAATTTTCATTTGTTCCAGTTTCTCTGAATTCTACCACTGGTTTAATCCAATCACCACCAGGAGGGGTAAATAAGAAGGAAGTATTACCAATTAGTATGATAATTTATTTATTTATTTATTAATTGGATCCACATGGGCTCTCAGTTGAAATGTAAATTATAACATGTAAAAAGTATTGTATATATGTATGAGTGAAGTGAGGGATAAAATTGTCATTTGTATAAATATAAGCACTTATGGAGAAAGTAGCTTACCAAACACTCCCACCCCAATAAGTACTTAAAAACATAATAAGTGATTTGAAAAGTGGGTTACCAAACAGCCTAAAGGGTTGTTAAAATAAGTACTTCTAAGAAGTACTTGTGAAACAAGTACTTCTTTTAACAAGTACTTAGTCATCAAACAGGGCCTTAGTCTACTTTCTCTTATTTTATCATCTATTGGAGCTACTCCTAGGTTCCTTTGAATGACTTCACCTCTAACCTTATCCTTTGAATAACTTCTATGTATGTGACCAAACCATCTTCGTAACATTCCTAAAATGATTTCATGATTATTAAATTGTGATCTCATGCAATGAAAAAGAAACAAGAATCATTAATAAGCATCAAATAACCAATTACTCAAAATAGCATACTCTGAGAATCATCTATCAAAAAAACAAAATAAAGAAAAATAACGACAATCAATAGTTCATCAGGATATGGTGACTAGTCAGTTCTTGAATAGTACCAATTCCAATACCTTTTGTATATGACCGACCATTCACACCACTTCAAGAAACCAATGCAAGATATGATGCAAACCTATTATTAATGACCCTGCATATCAAGCATCTCATCTAGACCCTTCAATCTCTCCATTCCTTCACTAATCAAATAACGGATTTTTTGCTTATCATCACAGTGTCGGTTATTCTCCATCTCTTGCCTAATTGTCTGCATCAGTTCAGCTGCAAAAGAACACTCACAGCTCAGATATTACCCTCATGCACCCAGCAGGTAGTCTAAGGGAAAGGCCAGGTTGTACTTAGCATTTGATGATATTAGGGCTCAGTTTGGGAAAAGTGCAAATACAAATATGTTTAGTGCAAAAACATGTATACGGTAAACCTTGTGTTTGCACTCTTTCCAAATAGATAGATAGATATAAGATTGCTATTATCATGACTAGCTAGTGCCATAGCTTACATTTCCCTTCCTTCTCCCCCAAAACACCAAAGGGAGAAAAGTGGAAAAGATATTTAATTCAAACAAATCTTAAATTTGGTGAAGCATGATTGGAATTTAGATGGACTAGATACTAAGTATACACTACACACCCAGCATGTCTCACGTAATTCACTAATGACCCAATTCCAGTCATTTGAATGCTCTAATTGAAGCAGCATTATTTTACTTATTAAAATGATGAACATAAGACAACCGTTATGATCCCACTTTGACCAATCTGCACTGCTTGCTTTTGAAATTTCTAAGTAGTATGCTTTTGGTTGGCTGCATTTTAAAACAAGCCATTGTTCAATGTTGGTCCCAATTATCTAGGGTCTTGGAGGGGTGGACTGGCTACAGACCTAACTGTTGGCATTTTTTGCAAAAAGTGGCCACTCTCTGGTTGGGTACACATATGATGTGATTATTTCACCATCTCACAACTCACTTCTTATAGGAATTCTAGACTTCTGATTAATATTAAGCATCAAGCATTCAACTTCTAAATTCAAAGCTTATTAGTTATCTAACATTGATACGCTTCCAAAATTCATTCTTAACCGTAAGTTATGCACATACTTTATCACTTGGATTTCTTCAAGTGAATTTTGGTTTTCACTCATCTGCTAAAACTCAACCCTCGCAACAAATGGGGAAACATAGGTGAGCTCCCACAACAAGTCGTTAATTAACAGAACTGATCTATGTTTTGAACCAATGGATCTTCACTAAGTAATGGCATTTCATTGGCAACAGCAAGCTCTACCTCATCGCCCATGTTAAAGACCCTAAGTAAAACACCTCTTCTCGACCACTAAAATGTACTATGAGTTCAGTCTATTTTCATTTTTTATTCAATAAAAAACATAAAGAAGTTTGTTATGTGCCATAGGAGAACTCACCCCTAAAAGCTAGGGGTTAGAGGAAGGGAACCCAAATATATACCCCACAACAGCATCCCATACTACCATGTGGGATACCTCACATTAGCATCCCATACTACCAATATGGGACAAATGGATTGTAACATTCCCCAATGCTCCGCAGTCCCAGTGCTCACGCAGGCTGGCTTTGCACTAGTCCACCTAGTCCTGGCCTGCATTACGATAACTCACCCCTAAAAGCTAGCTGCTAGAGGGAAGGAACCCAAACACATATATACCCCACAACAGCATCCCATACTACCGATGTGGGATACCTTACATTAGCATCCCATACTACCAATATGGGACAAATGGATCTAACAAAGTCACTAAATGGTAAATATATGTTCGAGTTTAGAAGCTTCACCTCTAGCATGAATGGGAGCTCGTCGAGCAGTTCTTAGTGCATGCCTATAGAACTTCAGCACCCTTGCCCGGAGGATGAAAGCCTGTAGGTCAAGGGAAGCAGCCATAACTCGTTCTCTCCCAACTTCGCCTACCTTCAACTCACCAGATTATTCAGATAGAATATGATTCTACAACAAAACCCTAATAGTCAGTTTACCCACTGACTTCTCGATCATTCATCGAACATGTCTTGTGTCCCTTCTTGAACAATTTTCGTAGGCATTCCAATGATAGATCATTTCAAGAATCTTCAACGACTCTCTAAAGCATTTCTTCAAACATGTTGAATGCTTGACCGCGTCACTGCATAGAATATCAACACAAGTACAATATGCGAAAGGTTTGAATCTCCACGAAATCGAAAGAAAAATTAAATCACCATCCAGTCAATGCTCAAGCATCTCAACCATAAAATCGGCCACAAAAACAGTGAGAGAGATGAGATTTAGATGACCATCGGCAATAGAACGGTGGTAGAGACGTTGGATTCTAAAACGGTAAAACCTCCCGTTTCTGAAATGACCAACTTCCCCCGCCAGGTGACGTCAGTGGACAAATATTACCATTCCGTTAATTGTCCGTCATTTGTCATTGGGTTGTGATATTACGTGATATTAAAATGTTTTAAAAACCCAAACTTGCCCTTTGCAGCTTTGCTTCAAGAACTACAACCACTTGAAAAATAGGTGAAGCACCAAACCTGGCCAATAGTGGCTGCCGTGGCGACAATGGCGTCAAATGGGGTGGCTTAACCCCGCACTGATGTTGTCCGATCCGAGGTGTACGTAGATATAAGTTAGATGGAGTCGTGCATTGAAGAGATCTACAACCAAAGAAGTATTCAAGGCTTGAGGAGATGATCCTGAGAACGCACTTTGATGCTCAAATTAGTAGAAAGAGGATGGAGTTAGTCAGGCCGAGCTTTGGAGGGCGAGCTAGTCCGAACCAAAGAGAACAATAAAGTAGCAAGGGAGCTAGAACATTAGGGGAGTCTAAGATCCTTTACCTTGAGGAGAAGATGCATTTAAATAGGTAAGTGTCTATGTTATAGTTAGATAGGCTCTTCGTAAGGTTATCGGGATGAGGCCGCCCACCGAAGTTCTCAAGAGGATCCGCCTTCCCCAACGGGGGCACGTCTCCTTGCCAGTATAGGACTTCACTTCCTCGTAGAGTCTTTAGCGACACGGTTGCTTGGGTGAGTGTTGGCGTGGCCCAAAGACATTGGTCACGGAAGCAACCACATGGCAACTTCGACCAACTGGGATACCGCCCAAACACCTAGAACCATATTGAACCAAGAGCTAAACACGTGAACTTGGAAACGAGCTTGCAAATGTTGGAGGTGAATGTAGGAATAGTCTGTGGATAGGAGATTCAAGCTCTTCCACCAGCGACAAGATTACCCAAAGGACCTAACCTATGAAGCTCGTCAACGACAAGCTTGTGAACGTTGGGTAAACATGAACTCCTTTGGTAATCAGGCCCATCAATTCATAGAGGTAGAAAGCCTCCCTTGCAACCTCCAGGAGGACAAGGAAATGAACTGAATACCGAAGGTCATAACTTTGATGGTACTACCATATGTAACTGGAATCCCTCTTATGTTCTAATGAGAAATATTTCCTTTATAATAGGCAATCTCTTGTTGAAGAGAGTTTAGAATGCGGAAGTAAACAAGTACTCTATTCAAGGGAGATTGTTGTGTGATTGTGCAACGTATTGTATCAATTAAAACAGGATTAAATACTTAAACTACCCCTACCCCCTAGGTTTAGCAAATAGAGAAGAACTTACCCTAATATTTGATAATCATTTAAGGCTACATTTTGAAGTGATGTAAAAGTCTACCAATGAATTCAACATCGATGGTTTAAAATCAAAGAACCATTGTGCTTTGAAAAATGTGATAATTGATGTAATATTACATTGATTGTATCAATGTAGTATTTACATCGAATATTGATGTATACATTGATTTATGATGTAAAATTCCACTCCATCCAAATGTCAACAAATCTGAATCAGAAGTGCAGTTTTACATCAATTTTGATTTACACTGCAAATAAATACCAGCAAATCTAAACCAGTGGTGGAGTTTTACATCCATATTGATTTACACCGCAAACAAACACAGCCTTAAGCTCAGTTTGGAAGGAGTAAAATACAAATATGTAGAGTGCAAAACCATATATTTTGTATTGTTTTATATGTATTTGTACCATATATATTTATATTTGTACTCTTTTCAAAATAGACCTATTCATAGGTTGGATCGGGCTTTGCCTTTACATTAATAGAATATGCTCAGGCTCAAAACCGGCCCTCATATAAAGCCCGAAGCCGAGGCCCGAGCCCAGCCAGAATTTGGGAAAAATATTTTTTTATTCAAGTAAAAACTGTTTTATTTATATTAAAAGACATCAAAACCTAAAAAAAATAATGAAAGATCTCACTATTACTTGAAAAAGAGAAGAATAATAAGAAAAAAGATTATATATTATATAAAATATATTTTTATTATATAATACATCACCAAGTCGGGATTGGGCTCGAGCTCAGGCCGGGCTTTTTTGAGGAAGCCCAAGCCCAGCCCAACCCAAAAAAGGTCATGCCTGATGTTTTAGGCCCAAGCCCGAGCCTGTGAGCCTAAAATCCTTTCCAAGCCCTACTTAGATCGGGCTAGGTTGCCTGGTGGCTACCCGACCCAAGAATAAGTCTATTCCAAAGTGAGCCTTTTAAAATATCCCTTTAGTTGCTAACAATGGACAAAATCATTAAATATTTACAGAAAAGATAAAATGACCATGTTGCCTTTCTATTAAGTAAAGAGGTCAAGGTTTTAAAAACTGACATGGAAATCAAACCACTATAGCCATTGATTTTTGGGTTAGGGGTTTGACCATCCAGGTTGAGTGGGTCAAAATGTTCAAGGTAAAATTTAGTTGTATATTGCATCTTGACCATTCAATTAGCATATTAGGTCACAAAATAGGAAAAAATATAAATAGAGAGGAGATAGTTTTAGGTTGGTAAAGGAAATGGAAGAAAGAAAAAAAAGAAAGGAATGAAGTGAGGAAGAAGGAGGAGGTGGTGGTGGTTCACCTACAATGACGACGACAACGACAGTGATGGTGGTAATAAACAGCAACGGCGAGCCGACAACAACAAAACTGACCTCAAATCTCATCTTAGATCTCCCATATTTCATCTCTCTCTCTCTCTCTCTCCCTCTGTGATCTCAAATCTGATATCTAAGATCTCAAAACTGATATCCCTCCCCATCTCTCAATCTCCTCCTTGTTAAGAGTAAACACTTTTCAATGAAAAATTAAATAGCAATTTAGTTAATCATGAACCGTTGCCCGGGTCGAACGGTTTAGCGGTTTGACCACCTAGGTCAATGGTCTTTTTACTAAGTTACCATTTTTATCAAAAAAAAGGTGGTTTGCTTAAAAACTAGACCCAGAAATATGATCATTTTCCTGGGTCAAATGATTAGACTGAACGGTTTGGTTTGGTTTTTAAAACAATGAAAGAGGTAAAGATTATGAAACACACCGGAAGAGAAAAACATACTGAAGAAAGTGACTATTGAAAATCCCGGCAATATCTTTGATGACCATCATCCACCCAACATCATGGTCTGTCCCAATCCTCCCCCCACCTTCTCTCTCTCTCTCTCTCTACAATTCTTCTTTCCTTCCCTGTTTTAGATAAAAGATTTCAACATACCCTTAGTTTTATTAAATTGACTTAAACGTACCATGAGATTTTAACGAAGACTTAATGATACCTTGTGACTTTTTATCCTTCATTTTCTTTCAAATTTTCAAAATCTACCCTAAAATTTTTACCCCTATATTTCTCTACTTCCTCTCCTCTTCATGTAATCTAACCCATATTTCTAATTTGGGATGAAGCTATTTGCTTATCACAACTTCACAACTAATGCTGGTTGGCTTACTTTGCCATCATTATTTCCCCTTCCTTTCACCAGTTTGAACTAGGCAAAGTTGGAAGAGAATTAGATACTAGAATGTAATTGGCTTATTTGGCTCTTGTCACATACAGTTAGGATTATAGTGTTTGATCATCTTAAATCTTCATTGTGCAAAATTGATCAAGCAGAAGATTTCCCTGAGATACGTGCATTTTATATCCACATTGAAAAGTGCAACTCCCTCAATCTATGTGATTATTTGTATAACAATCTTGCAAAGGCAAAGCCTCCAAGTAGAAGTAAGTTTTGTGGTTTTGATATGCTTCTTTACCTTCTTGAAACAGGGCACGTTGGAAACTTAGTAAACCATGAAATTGGAGATCTTTCTTGATTGAACTACTAGACATTAAAGAGCTTAACAAAGGACTTAGAATTGTATCACCAGTCTATATGCCTTTAATATTGTAAGCGTTTAATGAAGGTAAGTGACTACTCTTTGTATTCTCTAATGATTATTTGAGAATCATTTGTAACACTTTCTTCAGTGATCTATATTGTGTTCTATAAATTTCCTTTTGTATTTCAATTTCACTCTAACTTAAATGGATTATCCCTTCTTCTTCTTTTTCCACCTCACATATATTTCTTCTCTTCCTTGCTTAGAAGGGAAAAGTAGGATTTTAAAAAATTTAAATAAGTTGTTTCATTGATGAAGGTATATTTTAAGTCTAGTGGGTTCAGCCCACCAGGTACATTTAAGTCTATTTGAAAAGCTTAGGGTACGTTTAAGTCAATTTATGAAAACTTAGGGTGTGGTTAAGTTTTTTACCCTTTTTTTTCTAATACAAAAGTGAATAAACATGTCATAAGTTAAATTTGCCTCATACATCCCATCTTCTGACAATAGTGAAGCTGCATTATACCAACAAGGTATGGAAGAATGATGGGGTGAAAACTAATCCTCAAAGCGAGAGTACCTTAGCACAGTGTCACTAATTTTTGTAATTCTATACATCTCTACTTCAATGTTGCTGGTAGAGGGACGTCCACAGTCCTCCATAAGAGTCTAATATGAACATAAGCCCTCCATTTTAAGAACTTCTTAAGTTGCTCATTAATGCTTCC